AGGCCTTCTGGGCCTCATCAGTGCAGTGCTGATGCTAGGATGGAGGAGAACCGAGAGGGTCACCCCAAACGACCCAACATTTGCGGTGTCGTCTAAGCCATGCCAGAGTGCTCAAACTAGAGTAAAATAGTCAGCATATATAATTATATAATTCATAAGATACATTTGAGACATTTACCAAGCACTGGCAGTTTCTTTTTATAGCATCAAAAGTTTATTAAAGCCTTACTCTCTAAACTACCAGCTATCAAGGGAAAGGCTAAGGCCAGCTCAGCTTGAACCCCTGATAGACAGCTTACCGAATAGAAGTAGCCACATTTTATAATCACTTGCGTCGTTATTCCAGGGCCCCTCTGGATATCAGCCTTGTTGCTGAATGGGCCACCCTGGCTAAATAAAGTCTACTTACCTACCTACCTATTCCAAGAATTTAGACCCATCAATTCAGAAGAAAAATTCCTATTAGCATGAATGGTCGGCTATGTGTGTGCCAGTCTTAAACGATAATGAATTTATACAAACAGAAAGGATTACTGACCTTTAACGTGCATGTTCAGTCATGGGCAGAAATAAAACATAGGTACTGCAGTGTCTGTGTATGTTTCGCCAACTTTCGTGCGGTGCAGCATCTTTGCAGTACTAGTTGTGTTACTCTGAGCTCCCAAATGTTCTAGCCTGAGAATCATCGATCCTCTCATAGAACATCGACACAGGGCTTCGGAGCAAACCAAATAAGAAGTTCGGCTAAGCCACTCGGGTAACATGTAGAGATCCATTACTCTGTCCCAGCCTGAAAGTCCTGCTGAACTGACCACAAAATCGGAAGACAACATTATTTCCGTGAAAAAGTCTCGCTCCATAACGGAAATTGCCTCCAATCAATCTTCAGCTCTGTTATCTCGCTTTCTATGCGAGTTCTTGTCACTGACGGAGCTGGGCTCTGAACGAAGCATCAGAACGCGCGTCCATTCGATATTCTTGCTGAATGGATGCGGTTATCAATACGCCGATTCAGTCGGTTTTGCTCGCCTTCTTGCATCACTGCAGCGTTTTGTGTTTGCTTTCATTCAAATGAAAAACGCATAAGTCAGTGTAGTGAAGAAATTTAGAGCCCCATGACTTCCCCTACTCCTGCCACGCTCACACACCTCCAGCCTTGCTAAATGGATGAGACCAAGAAAGGCCGCTGCTGCTCCTTTGGTTTATGATCGCTGCACCGAGTCAGTTCCCTCAACTTTCCAGGAGGAGACTCGGGCAGAGTGAGGCTGGGGAGGGGAGGGGGAGGCACTTTACTTGTTCCGGTCGTGTTCCGTTTTTGTAATGAAAAGTTAATCTGAAAATGTTCGTGGGGAAATTGTTATCGTCGCCACCGTGACTAAGAGTTGCATGTCTAAAACCGCATAGAGACCTGATCTTGTCCTAGGCTGTACTCTTTTTGGTGACTTAGACACGTTTCTCCTAACTGGGATACCCTTCGGTATAACAGAACATGAGTAAATGACATTTAATCAGACCCCCTTGGTTGATGCTGTTTCCTTGACTTAGCTGTCTGCATGTCGACGTTTGTTCTAATTTGAACTGAATGTGTGAAGCAATTGCGAAAGTGACCGCCGGTTAGCGAACCAATAGGACTACCAACAGGCTGCCTCAGCCCCACGAATGCTTTGATCAGAAACTAGCGAAGTTACTTGACAAACATCAACGTTGTAGTAATTCGTCTTCAAATGCTGTAGCGAACATAGCGGAGAAAACTCAGTGGAGAAAACTTCAAGATGTATTCTGTTGGTGGCGACCTTTCAACTGGTAAGTGATTCGATGGGTTGCTCTAACTTCTGACTCGTGATCTAGCTTGAATATACTTTGCAGAAGAATACAACTGAATTGACAAACTTCGAAGCGGAACTCTGCATGAAGCATAGTAATTAAGGTAATGTGCAATGGCCTCAAAATTTTAGCAAATCTCGTAGTTGTATTTTCGTCAAATAAAAGTAATAAAAACCTGTCATCATTGTTATTATGAGCGAAAGTATACTCAGGAGGCTACTGGTTTAAGTTTTGTCGCGAACAAGGCCCAAATAATTTTACAACATATTTGAAATATATAAGCGGAAGTTGACTTCTTGTCCTATAAATAATAGAAAATGTTACTGAGAAAAGTCAGTACAAGAAACTGAAACTGTAACGTATTCGATATAATTAAAACGGTCAGGAAATCGCGAGATCAAATTGTTTCAGCGATGGAATAGTGAGACAACAAACAGATGAAGAGTCAATAACAATCTTCTTCTAGGCACAGCTGAATTTTTTAGTAATACTGTAAAACCAGCTTAAAAAAGTTCGAAAGGTAGAATACCACGCTCTATCTTTAATTAAAGATTGGTTTCGTTTTAACACTTAAACCAGCGATGATTAGTGCAAAGTTAGTACTAAGTTAAGATATACATTGTAATTCACCCTTGTCGTTCATGTATGCAAATTGAGAGTTGCAAGCTCCGTCACGCTTCGTGCAATTTAAGAAATAAACTTAAAGTATCATTAAAGTTTACTGAACTTTTCAATTGTTTTGAAATCTTCCTCGTAGCTTTTTGTTTTTTTCTTGTAAGTTTGATGTTTTTGCATCTCAACAAAATAGTATTTGGTTGGCTTGTCCTGACTAAGGAATTCAAACATCGATATTGACTCGGCGCTGTGTCAGCTTACGTCAGGTAATGCTTGAGTGAGTCCTGAAGTAAACAAAAACGAGAGGATACTTGAATGGATAATCTCTTATCTCTGATAAAACTGAAGCTCTGTGTTTGGGGGTTTTTTTTTCGCGAAGTAAGTTTAATCACTGTCTAAGATAATTAAACACAAGAAACCAACTAAATCAGAATCGTTTAAGACGAATTGCTTTTGATTATTTTTAGAATAAATCTTCTCGCGTTCCATCACATATGCTTCAATCCAATTGGCTACCCTTGTCAATACTATCTATTGCGTGATGTTTAGTGGCCTAAAGACAAGCTTTTGTAAACAAGCATGAACTTGTTTGCGTGACAGTTGATCCAAGAATCGCCCTCATCGACTATCACGCGATAGAAATCTCGAGCTCATAGTTTAATAGTTAAATGGTGCATTTTATAATTTTCCATTATCTTTTTGTTTTCCATGTATAGAGTATAAATTGTCTGCCATCCTTAAAAACGAACCAAGGCTTATAGAGCAATTGGCCTTATGTTTGGACAGAGAAATGAGACTCATACCTAACTGGAAACATTTGGCAGCGGATCTTAATGTCGACGTCAATGTCATTAAACGACTTGGGCACTTCAGTGACTACAGTCCCACCATCCGATTGTTTGAATTCCTTGAGGTCACACAACCGGATTTGACGATTAAACAACTAAAAGACGCGCTGTTGGAAATCAAAAGGAACGACTTGTTTAGTTTGCTGACCACAAGAGGTTTGATTCTGTAGAGCATCTTAAACGTGTGCTAAAGTAGAAGGATTAATTTTGATTTAAACCGAGTAAAAAGGATTTATCTAATGAAGTAATTGCAGCGTTTAAGAGCTCCCTTCATGATAACATCAAATTTTCTAGACTCAAAGGCTATAAGGTCACTCGCTCTTTTTGAAACAATCGGAAAGAGAATGAGACTTTTGCCTCCATCGCTGACGTAATTTGGATCTTGGTTGCCAGACGATATGCAATGCTTCCAAAATTTTCGAAATGCCTGTAATTTCTTCGAACAACACCCCTTCCAAGGATTACCATAAAATGTAAGTTTGAGGTGTCTTCCCAAATTCCAGCCCATTTAGTAGGAGAAAGTTCTTGAATTTGCCTGGGGTCGGGCCGGGATTCATCACACGCATTACATTCTGCTCACGATCAAAGTGTTCACTTATGATGTGACATTTAATGGCCGTAATGCTAAAAATAGAATTGGTGCCAAAAAATGTGACGTACATTTTTCTCTCTTAGCTGCGTGCATTGACTCTGAAAAAGTAAAAGACATCATCACATCGCCAAATATTCAAGCTCCTTCACCAACAACCGGTCTTTTGGATGAAATTGCATTAGCCTTAGACGTTACCTCTATGGTATTGTCAAGCTGGTCCAACTTAGCAATAAAACTGGGAGTGCCAAGAAATACTTGTTGGGAGTTTCAACGACGTTCAACAAATAATCCAACCCACAACCTCTTGCAGTATTTAATTACCACCTGTCCCGAAATGAAACTGAGAAGTCTAAAGGATGCCCTGGATTCTATTAAAAGAGAGGATCTACTAAAAGTTATTCAAGAACATAATCAAGGAGGTATTTACCGTAAACATTAATCTCAGACGTATAATAATTAATGATCTTTTGAGCTCGACAAGAAAGCCAACAAAATCCTGGTAATGGTAAAGACTGTCTAGCGTATCCCTGGACCCAACCTTGTTAAAAACCTGAACTCAGATTGCTGCATAAAAATGCAGATGTCAGTCTTTCTGATGAGGAATCAAGCAGTACAACCATGCTTTTCTCTTAAACAACTAGAAACATTTTCAGGCATAACTTGCGTCTTGATTAACTTCTCGACATTTGCATCGATGAACTGAAAGATAACTGAAATCTAAAAAGTTTCCTCTAGCTAAGACTCATTTGAACACCAAGATTTACGATTTGCTAATCTTTTTTCCCTTGCAGATGAAGTATTTCTGAAGGAAGTAGTGGCCCAAAAACCGGAACTTGTAGAAACAATGGCAGAGAAACTTAACCGCGAAAAAGTGCCAGGCGTCAAAAATTGGCACCATCTTGCCTGCAAACTGAACGTCCCTGATGATGTGCGTCAAGGACTTGGTATGACAGGAACAAAGTGGAAAAGTCCCACTAAGGAAGTTATTCAATGGGTGGCCGTGAACTTCCCGGAGAAAACATTAAGTGACGTGGTAGATGCGTTGGACAGGATCCAGCGTAATGATGCTATTCAGATTATATCAAAGCAATTTCCAGACACAGTTGGTGAGTAATCAATTAAGAAACGGCTCGTTCTACAAATAGTAATAATCCTAATAACAATGTAGAGGTGGACATTCCAGTACTAGGTGGCTCCTCCTGTCTGCTGTTTCCAAGTCGAATTGGAATTTGGAATGTTAGTTTTTGTGAACGAAAAAAAAAATAACTGGAGGAACCAGAGTAAAACTCTTGCGGCAAGGAGGAGAACCAACAAAAATTAAGCTTAGAGAAATGACGCCAAATCCGCGAATCGAATTCAGGCCACAGCAGTGAGAGCCGAGTGCTGTCACCACTGCGCCATCCCCGGTCACTGTTAATTAAAAAAACACACTTTTTGGGAATTCAGTGACCGAAAACGACTTGGCAACTTATGCAAGTCTACTCCACGGTCTCTTGCCTCGCGAAGAGCTGCCGAGTGTAATTAGTATCCTTCCAATCCTACTTACCATTGATATGCACCCTAACCTAACTTTCTGGTTATCGTTCTTTCAGAATTAAATTTGGAGCGACTTGGTTGTTCACTCCGGGACAGTCTCAGAATGCATGATCCCACAGGTCGGAATTTATCCCCTAGCTACAAATGGGAAGAGAAGGTTCCTCTTCCAAAGCAAGGTGAGGGGAAAACATTGATTTTCCTGAGCAAGGTGCACGATCCAATTATTTTTAGCAGCCTCATATTAGGATTGATAAAGAAAGCAAAATAACTGGAATATCGCTGTTTTAGCCGTAGCTTATAGAAATATTTACCAACACTTAAAGAATTGTTACCTGAGCTCTACCGATGGGCCACTACTAACTTTGGCGAGAAATGCTGTAAATAAAAGGTTTCGAGGATTAACCTAGATGATAAGGGGATGCCTAAACTTTTGTCGTAAGTCTGATGCCTTTGCTTTTTAGAAAGAAAAAAAAAATTTATTTATTTTTATCTTAGAACTTCAGTTTTTTAAAAGGATTCTATATCTCTATGGTTGCAGACGTAAGGGAACAGTCAGGTCACTGTGGAACATTGCCCGATCAAATAGATCTAGTGGGCCGCAGTGAAATCTGTCAAAAGATCATAACTGCTTTGTCTTCAAACAAGGTGGTTAAAGTTGTAGCGCCACCTGGATACGGGAAAACTTCTACGGTAATAGAGGTCGCCCATCGGTTGATCAACGGGGGAAAGTTCATTGCTTATGTCAACCCAAGAGGTGTCACTTGCGTTGAAGACTTGGCAAGCGATATCATCGAAGCCTTAGGTTTCGTTCCCAGCGAAGATACCATCACTGAGGCAACTCGTCGCATACGCGCCTTGAAGACTAAGTCAGTGGTGCTCCTTATCGAAAACATTGACAATTTACTTCACCTCGAGGCTCAAGTTTGCAAGGATGATTACCTCCAAGAGCTAAACTCCAAAAATTACTGCACCAAAATGCGCGGGAAATTTACAAAGGATGACTTCCTAGCATTTCTCAAAGACATCGGAAAATGCCCAACCATTCATCTTGTCCTAACATCTAGAGAATTCTATGACTATTTTAATGTGTCTTTCCCTATTGAGCTGATCAATCTAGAGCCCCTGAAGGACAATGATTCAGCTTCTTTGTTCACAAAGTGTGACGACAGCCTGGAAGAAAGCTTGATTAATGACCTGGTCAGAGTTTGTGGCGGTATTCCTCTTGTTATCTGCACTGTTTGCTCAATTCTCAGAAGAGAAAATCCAGCGAGGTTCACCCGAAGACTTACCAATTATTCACCTCGATCTCTTCGTAGAGCACTAAGCCCCGACTTTATGGCGAGTGAGGATCGCATTGATGAGTGTTTACAGATCTGTTTTAATCGCTTCAGTAAAGAGAATCAACAGATATTTGTAATGTTTTCAACATTTCCGAATGGATTTACAGAAGAACAATTTGACGCGTGCTTCAAGTCCTCGATTGGAGGTGATCTGCAAAGGTTTCTAATTTGCTTGAAACAGAGCAGCCTCCTTAACTTTGACAGAAATAAATGTCTTTACTCCCTACATCCGTTTATAAGGAACTTTTTTTCATCAATGCCTGGACACAAAGGAGCCAAATCAGTCTTCCTGCGTCACTACAGTGATTTGATTGTTTCCCTCTGCAAAACATTTTTGAGTGTGGGTAAGAAGTCTGCGATTGATCGGTACAGATCTGAAAAGGATAACATTCGAGAGGCCATGGCTTGGTGTGGAGACAATCATCCTGAGCTCGACCAAAGCGTGAGGGAGTATTGTGTTACTGCTTTCAACGAAGCAGCCGTATTTCTCGCAAAGATGATGCGAAAACAGGAGTTCGTTTCCCTCTACTGTAAGCTTTCGTATCGATGTCGACATAACAGGCGTCTATTGGGCGCTTGCTGGACAAGTATTGGAGTGAAAATAGTAGTAAGTTGCACCTGCACACCGTACATTTGTCCTAAAGCGTTATATCAAGCGGAGAGATATTTGGCACGTGCAAAACACATTCATTCAGAACTTACGGATGTGAACGAAGCTACGCGTGCCCACTGCTTGAGTAAGCTTGGATTCTGTTTTGTTCGAGAGGGACGCATTCGAGAAGGATTTGATCACCTCAACGAAGCCATAAAAATACGAACAAAGAAAGAAAAAGAGTCAGATGAGACTAAAGACAAAGTCATGTTAGCAGCTTGTTACAACGATATAGCAGGTTGGGAATAACGGTACTTTCTTTGCTCTTCGTGAATTCATTTTTCTTTTTTTCATTTTTTTGTGAACGTACACTTTCCAAAGCGGATGCACAAAAATTAGCCAAGCTGGCTTTATCATGTATTTTTTCTTAAAAAAAAGTTAATTTGAGATCAAAAATAGAGAATTTTACACATAGATCAGTGATCTCCGTAGACAAATATTCATAAAATGCGCGGTCAATCAGACAATGTTAAACCTTAACTGTAGTTGAATCTTTCTTCCTTTTTATTTGTGGTCCTTACAGCTTCCCTAATGGTGCAAAGGAAACACATGTGTGCTATCCAAACAAGACTCTGCTATGTGCTTCCTCTCTATGAACAAAACCTCGGAGACCACCCTTTCACGGCAACAACACTCGACTGGATTGGCAACAGTTACCACGCCTTGGGCGACTATGATAACGCTGTTAAATACATCAGTAAATCAGTTAAAATGCGAAAGCAACTGTTGGGGCACCATCAGGAAACTGCGAGGTCTCTTCATGATTTGGGAGTGGCTTTGAACGCGAAAGAAGATTATTCAAGGTGATAAGCGAAAACTTTTCCAAATATCTTATAAGTCATTTCCTTAAATTTCCTGAAATTGCCCAATGTGTACCTTTGAGTCACTGAGACGAGAACTGAAGCATATCGCTATCTTTAATACCCACTTTTCAGAATAATTGTGCAATTCCTTCTTGTCCATTAGGATTTGCCTTTCAGGTCGATTGCAGCCATGAGGGATACATACCAAGCTGTTCACTTATTTTTTTTTATAAATAATTCTTCCATAAGAAATAAAAGTGACGCAGATTAATATTTACTGAGCTGTTCTCTCCTTTAGTGCCCTTACATATCTTAAAGAGGCAATCGATTTGCAAGAGGAAGTATCCGACACTCATCAGCAACTGATTCACACTCACCAAGACATGTCCATTGCTCTGCGGGGTCTCGGAAGAAACAGCGAAGCCGAGGAAGAAATGACACGGGCTGCGGAGTGTGCGAAAAAGTTGGAAAAGGAAGAAAAAGAAGAAGAAAAACATTGGGTGGATGTCTCTTGCACAGAATTCAGAGGGCTCTAAATAGTGTTATATGTAAGACAATCTAACGATTGATCGATGGGCTCTTGTGAATACTTGTTATGAAATCGCTCAATCCGTCAGTCCAAATACCGTTAGGTAATGCGTGTTTGTCGTTAAGTCCAACTTAAGAAGAACCTCTTAGACTTTTGTTCGGGTGAATGGCTGTAATGAGCCAAATTTATTAATTAGAGTTAGTGAGAATTTAGCTAGTTTGGGTTTTTTTTAATGAATAGCTTGATGGACATCAGTACAGCATGTGAATTATATTATTTTCCGTCAAGCCTTCGCTGGCTTGACACTCGACGCAATCGGTTCAAGCCTCCCGTGTAACTTATTTCAAATCTTTTGACTGACAATAAAAAAGAAAAAAAAAAAAAAGAAAAAGAAATATTTCACTTCTATCGATATACCAGAAATTGTCAGAAATTAAACTTTTGACGCGCGAATTGTCTTATCGGCGGCTTAGAGGTGAATAGCTAGGACTTGCTACTTACTTCCGAACTGGCCAATCAGCGAGCGCGAAGTAGTACTATTCACCTGTGTGGTCCTTACTGATACTGATAGGCTGACGTAACCTTTGAGCAGCGGAATAAATCACTGAATAACAACGCAACATTATAAAATAAATTTTTTTCTAAATGGTACACGAGCTGTATTAGGGGTCATAATGAATAGATGACTTAAGTAACTAACGATTCAAATTTTGGCCATTTCACGGCTAACTATTGATTTATTTCCGTTACAAAAAGAAAAAAAAATAGCGGTTTCCTTTTTTTTTTTTACAATAAACGGTTCCAATTTGTCAATATTTACGCTTAACGGCACTTTTTTCCGTTTTATGATTAAAGGTTGACCCCACTGACACCCGCAATAAACATTCCAAACTTTGGCAACAGGCGTTATCAAAACAACTTGAAGAAAGGACCTGGGTAGAGACTCCTGGGGAAGCGGAAGAGTTGATTTGTTCCTCCTTATTCAGTTTGTCTGTCTCAGAACAGTGAATATGTATAAAAGACAACTGGTGCAAGCTCCGTTGTTGAATTTCAAGTGAAACAGTTGCAGAAACATCCAAATCTTACCTATGAAACGACGGAAGGATCTACCCCACGGGATAATGTGAAGCAAACAGTGCTGTAATCATGCATCATTAGCCACGTAATTTTTAAATGCCTGCTTCGGCGTTGGATGCGTCTTCACTGCACCGATTTATTAACTACACTTTTCTCCGTTCCTTTGACTGTTGTCCAGCTGCACAGCATAAAACTGAAGAGCGTCTAAATTACAAGTTCTTAAATAGTAATAGATGTTTTGCCGAGATATGTATGAACTCGTCAGGTCTGACATTGATCAAGTACATGCAATCTTCAAACTTATGTTCGTGATATTAAACTGACAGTAAGGCGACGTCATCCGAGAAATCGACGGTTAAAGTTTACAATGGCCCAATTGCGTAAAAGAGATCTTTCGAATGGTAAGTAATTTTCGCTTGTTTCGTACGAATGAAGTGATGTTCATTCTTCTTTCGCTACAAATCATGGCTTGATGCATTCGTAAGTCTTTGACAAAAACGGCTGTGATCACGATTATTAAAATATACTGAGAAAGTATTTGCTATGTGTAATTAAGTTTTGAATGACTGCTTTCATTGGAAGCGATCAATGTCGCTAACGTCGGCAGTGATTGCGAGAGGGCCACAAACTTTCCAGCCTTTGAAATGTTTGAAATTATGATTGCGGAACTAAAGCGGAAACACGGCCTTTTACCAATCGGCTGGGCTTGCGATCGGGAGAATATTGGTTTCGTTTTATATTCAAAGGGCTGTATGGTTAATAAAAACAGAACAAGAATCTTTCCATTCGAAGTGTTTTCGAAAGTGTGACGGTTTAATTCAGCTATTGTGTAGTTTGAAACGCCGGGTAGCACATGTTATGGTAAGCTACCGAATAAACGTTTAGGTTGCAAATAGTCTAAACGGTTTAAGTTATTTCTAAGCACTGTATGCCCTAATATGAAAGTTAGTGGTGTTATTATTAAACCCCTGCATTAAAAATAAAATCTTGCTTCCATGCTTCACAAGCTTTAAAAATTTTGCATCGTCATGGCAGAAAGAATGTTATTTACCTGTGTGGTGCATACCGATGCATCATATTCATAGGCTGATGTCACCTAACCTTTGAGCAGCGGAATAATAAATCACTTCATATCATGATGCAATAAAGTTTTTTTTCTAAGTGGTACACGAGCTGTTTCAAGGGTCTTAATGAGGCTTTTATAACTATCGGTTCAAATATTGGCCATTTTAGGGCTAGCTACTGATTTACTTATGATTCCCCTTACGAAAAGAAAAAAATTGAGGTTTCCTTTTTTTTTTTTTTTTTTTTTTGAGGATAAGCGGTTTAAATTTGATAACAGTCCCAATTAACAGCTACCTTTTTTTCCGTTTTATGACTTATTGTTGACCCCATTGACACCCGCAATAAACATTCCAAACTATGGTAACAAGCGTTTTCAAAACAATTGGAAGAGAGGACCTGGGTAGAGATTCTTGGGGGAGGGTAAGAGCTGATTTGTTCCTACTTACTCAGTTGTCTGTCTCAGAACAGTGAATATGTATAAAAGACAATTGATGCAAGGTCTATTCTTGAATTTCAAGTGAAACAGTTGCAGAAACATCCAAATCTTACCTATGAAAGGACGAGCGAAGGATCTGCTCTACGGGATAAATCGAAGCCAAACAGCATGCATCATTAGCCATGTAATTTTTAAATGTCTGCTTCGGCGTTGGATGTGCCTTCATTGCATTGATCTTATAACTATACTTTTCTCCTTTCCTTTGACTGTTGTCCAGCAGCACAGCATAAAACTGAACCGCATTTGAATTACAAGTCCTTAATTAGAAGTAGATGTTTTGCCGAGATGAAGTATGAGCGAACTCGTTAGGTCTGACATAGATCAAATACAATTTTCAAACCTATGTTAGTGATGTTGAACTGAGAGTAAAGAGACGTCACACGAGAATTCAACGGTTAAATATTAAAGTTTACAATGGCCCAATTGCGTAAAAGAGGTCTTTCGACTGGTAAGTAATTTTCGTCTGTTTCTTACAATTTAAGTGATGTTATTATTCTTTCGCTAGAAATCCTGGCTGAATGCATTCGTAAGTCTTTAAAAATGAAGGCTGTGATCACGATTATTAAAAGATACTAAGAAACTTTTTGCAATTTCGAATAAGTTCGGAATTACTGCTTTCATTGGAAGCGATCAATCCTGCCAACGTCGACAATGATTGCAAGAGGGCCACAAACTTTCCAGCCTTAAGCTTTGAAATGTTTAACATTATGATGGCGGAACTAAAGCGGAAATACGACCTTTTACCAATCGGCTGGGCTTGCGATCGAAACAATATTGTTTTCGCCGGTTTACCTTTAGAGGCCGATGTATAGCCGGTAAACATAGAACGAGAATCTCTCCTTTCGAAGTGTTTTCGATCTGTGTGATGGTTTACCTTGGCTATCGTGAATTATGAAATGCCGGGTCGCATATGTTCTGACAAGCTACCGAATGAACATCTGGGTTACAAATGATTTAAACGTTTTAACATGTTTCTAAGGACAGTATGCCGTACTATAAAGTTAGTGGCGTTATCATTAAACCCCTGAATTAAAAATAAAACTTCGCTTCCATGCTTCACTGAGCTTTGAAAATATTGCATCGTCGTGTCTGATACCGGCGATGTGATTTGGTTATATCAACAAAGTTGAAATTTTAAGTTGGCCACCGTAACGAGTAAAAAAGCTGACGTTTCGAGCGTTAGCCATTCGTCAGAGCGAAAATGAAAGAAAGGTTGTTAATCGACTTTAATTGCCTTCTACACTGATTTTGAATTCTCTAGCTAAACTATATTTCTTGTTTACATTTTGGTATCGTGGACATGAGTTTGAAATTCAAAACACAGAAAATTCATTACTGAATTTTGATTAGTTAGACCTGTTTCTTAGAAAGCAGTTAGCAGGATTTTTTTGGAATTCAAGCCTAAAGAGTCCTTCATTTCGTTTGACCTTTCTGTCATGTTTAGGGTCTAATTTATCTGCCATACTACGACGTAATCCAGAGTTTATAGAAGAGCTGTGCTTGTGCTTGGACCGTGACATGAAATTGATACGTAATTGGAGACATCTGGCATTATCACTACACGTCGACTTGGATGTCATCAGACGACTTGGACAGTTCAGCGACTTTAGTCCTACCATCCGATTGTTTAAATTCCTTGCGACCTGGAATCCAGATCTGACGATTAAAGAGCTAAAGGACATCTTTCTAGAGATCGGGAGAAACGACCTCATTAGTTTGCTGATCACAAAAGGTATGAAACAAATTCACTGAAGTCAACTGCTAATCTGTCTGTGTCATAATTCAAGAGGACTTTACATGGGACGTTTGGAAGTTGCTGTTTCTCCTCAATATCTTTATAGAATGACACAGATTTTAATTCTATATGTTAAAACACCTTGTTGGTGTTGTTTTTGCTTCTAAGAGACGGTCTTCCCTCGATACGATCAAATGTCGAAAATCATTCTTTGAACAGCAACTATTTGAAGGGGTATTATTTTGGATGAATAGCTAAGTCATTAATTGGCTACATGTCATAACTGTTCAATTTTAACGAGAGGATCGTGTGTCTTGTGACACACTGCATGAAAATTGTGCTTGAGTGTAACTTTTATTTCTATCTAAATGTATTCGATTGTATGTGACAGTTAATCAGCGAAGTTCCTAGGAATTCAGAGTGAGTTTGTTTCTCTTAATTTGTTCGACCATCAGCTGGTTGCTCTGACACAGGAAAAGTTCTTGATGTGATCACTTTCCCAAGTAATGAAGCTCCTTCACCCACAGTTAGTCTTTTGGACGAAATTGCGTTGGCTTTAGACGGGACGTCACTGGTTTTGTCAAACTGGTATACCTTAGCGATAAAACTGGGTGTGCCAAGACAAACCTGTTGGGAGTTTGAAAGACGATCAACAGAAAATCCGACAGGCAGACTGTTCCAATATTTGGCTATCACTTGCCCACAAACGACACTTTTAAGTCTCAGGGAAGCTCTGGACTCTATGAAGAGAAACGATCTGATAAAATTTCTTCATGATGAGAAACTTGGAGGTGAAGTGTCACCACTGCATCACAAATAAATAAAGTTTATGAAAGTAATTTTGTTATATCAACTAAGTTAAAGTTGTAAATTGGCGACCGTAAAGAGTTAAAAAGCTGACGTTTCGAGCGTTAGCCCTTCGTTATAGCGAATGACAAAGGGCTAATGCTCGAAACGTCACCTTTTTAATTCGCTACGGTGGCCAATTTATAATTTCAACTTAGCTGATATAACCAAATTACCTTGTTACCCCCACCAACGTAGCATCGCTTTTCTTTAGAAACTTACCCCCTTTATTCATAAAGTCTAACTAAGCCTAATACCTTTGCAGCCTGGAATTTTTTCTAAGTTATCAACAGGAAAGTCATATTCTGCTGTTGTTCGGATAGTCTTTTTTTAGAGAATTTCATACAATTAGCTGCATGAGTGTTTCAAGAATCGACTAAGAAAAGTGTGCTCTGCATCAAAGCCCCATTTTGGGAAGTTTACTAAAAATGATCTGTAGGTACCTTTAACTTTTTGTAGATGAAATGTTACTTAAAGATATCATAACCCCTGGATCGGAACTATTAGAAAGACTGGCGCAAGAACTTAATCGAGAAAAGAGTCCCGGAGTCAAAAACTGGACAAATCTGGCCTGGACAATGAAAATACCAGCTGACGTGCGTCGAGAATTTGCCGATGTCAAGCAAAGCAGGAAAAGTCCAACAAAAGAGGTCCTAGAATGGGTGGCCGCGCAGTTTCCTGAAAAAGCATTAAGTGACGTTGCAAAAGCACTAGATGAGATCCAGCGAAACGACGCCATACAGATAATATCTGAGCATTTTCCAGACACGGTTGGTAAGTATTTGCTGACCTAAGTACTTTGGGGTTTTGTGACAGTTTCAGTGCTTGCCTTTCCTGAAATAATCGCTTCGTATCCTCTCTGCTGCGCTTACAGTTTTTTATTTCCAAGACTGCGATTTTTCGTTAAAAAAGCCATAATTTCCATTGTGCATTACCTCGTATTCCTTGTACAAGAGATGGCGAGGAGAAAATTAACTGGATGCAGGCACGTGTTATGTTTAAAAGATTCTATAAGTGTGAATGTAGGGTGCCTTTTCTCCTCCATCAGATTCAGCCTTGAAAGGACTTGGTTGCTCATTCAAGGACAGCTTTAGCATGCCAGATCCGACTAGTCAGATGTTTTCAACCAGCTTCGAGAGAGAAGAGCGGGATCCTTTTCCTAGCAGAGGTAAGAAGGAACGCATTAATCCACGCTTGATATCCATAGAATTGGCCTGTTAAGACGTCTTGGTCAAAATTGTACAATAATTATGGAATTAAAAACGTTTTCATTGGGCATGTCATTATTTCCAGGTCCTTACTTTGCTTAATTATTCAAGGAGCTAACGTCCACAATACATGAAACTAGGGAAGGAACCTCATCAAATAGCGATCTTTGCAAAATCATACGTTGATGGAATGGAGTCTTGCGTCTTGGGTACAGCTTGTATACGATGGTATATCAATGACAGCTGTTACGCTCTGCCTCTACCCCGCTTCAAGTGGCGATTTCAATCTTGATCAGTATACCCCTGTGGTCTACATAAACATGAGCTTTTTACATAGAGTTATTTTAATCTGTGTGGGGGGCTGAAGGGGGCTGATAGGCAGGACTGCTGCGCTTAATTGCCACGAATATTGGAAAGGGATAAATGGTCTTTCTGCCTTTTCACTTGCAGAAGTGAAGGAGCAATCTGGTCATTATGGAAGCTTGCCAGATCGGACGGATTTGGTGGGTCGCAATGAAACATGCGAGCGTATCATAACTGCCCTGTCTTCAAACAAGTCGGTTGAAATTGTAGCGCCGCCTGGATATGGAAAAACATCGGTGGTAATAGAGGTGGCTTATAAGATGATCGAAAGGAAAAATCTCGTCGCGTACATTAAACCTCGAGGCTTCACTTGTGTCGAAGATTTAGCAAGCAAAATAATTGAAACCTTGGGGTACGTTCCCGGTGAGAACACAATAACCGAAGTATTCAGTCGCATATCGTCCTTTAAGAGAAAAAGTGTTGTTTTGATCATTGAAAACATTGACAACTTGCTGCATCTTGAGGACCAAGTTAGCAAGAATAACTACCACCAGGAATTTAAATCGGAAAACTGCTGTACCAAAATGTGGGGAAAATTCACGAAGAACGACTTTTTGACATTTCTTAAAGACCTCGGACAAAGTCCAAACATTCAACTTGTCCTTACATCCAGAGAAACCTATGATTTTTATGTGTCATTTCCTCTCGAACTTATTAAACTAGAGTCTCTAAATGACAAAGATTCTGCGTCTATGTTCTCAAAGTGTGAGGATAGTCTGGACGAACATCTGATTAAGGACCTGGTCAGAGTTTGTGGAGGTATTCCCCTAATAATCTGCACGGTAATTTCGATTCTGAGAAGAGAAAATCCCCAGAAGGCAGCACGAAGACTTTCCTCATCATCGCCAAGTTCTCTTGTGAAAGAATTAAACTCTGACATTTTGCCGAATGAGGATCGCATTGACAAGTGTCTTGAAATATGTTTTGCTCGCTTTGGTGAAGTAAATCAAAAGATTTTTGTGATGTTCTCAACATTTCCCTACAGATTCACGCAAGAACAATTCCAAGCAGTCTTTAGATCATCTATCACAGCTGATTTACAAACTTGTTTGAATTCCTTGGAGCACAGTAGCCTCCTTCGCTTCGACAGAGGAAGTTGTCAGTATTCCCTTCATCCTTTCATACGAAATTTCTTCTCACTCAAATCGGATCACAAAGAAGCTAAATTAATTTTCATTCGCCACTACAGTAACTTGGCTGTTACTCTTTGCGGAAAATTTTTGACTAAAGATTGCAAGTCGGCAATGGATCAGTACAGACCTGAAAAGGACAACATTCGAGAAGCCATGGCTTGGTGTGGAGACGATCATCCTGAACTTGACCAAACCACGAGGGAGCAATGTATTGGAGCCTTTAACAAGGCAGCCACATTTCTTGCAAAGGTGATGCGAAAACAAGAATTTCAGTCGCTCTTTTGCAAGCTTGCGCATCGATGTCGCTCCCACATGGAACTCTACAGCGCTTGCTTGACGAATATCGGAATGAAAATAGTTTTAAGCTGTACATGCACCCCACACATTTGTCCTAGAGCCTTGTATCAGGCCAAAGAAACTCTGACCCAGGCAGATGACATTCAGTCAACACTCACGGACATTAAGGACACCAATCGCGCCCAGTGTTTGAGCAAGCTTGGATTCTGTTGTGTTCGCGAGGGGCGCGTTAATGAGGGCTATGGACACCTCGACGTCGCTTTGAAATTGCGATGGGACAGAGCAGAGAGATTAATGAGGAACACAGACCAAGTCATGTTAGCCGCCTGTTTCAACGATATAGCAGGTAAGAGATAATCATAAAGAGAATTATTTGCAAAAGGTCATCTTCATTAAATCTTTGCCTTAAAAAAACTAGGCGGTAAGATCCATTGACACTTTGCACAAGCTTCACTACGATCAAATCTGTTTAAGTACCACGCAGAGACGAATTAGTGCTATAATTAGGAAGGGATGTCAGTGGCATAGGTTGGTGCGTAGCAAGAGCTTACGGCCATTTTCTTCACCAACTGAAACTAGTTATCTAAAAATGACTCTCAATTGGTAAGTCTAAAACGGGTCTAAGAGGTAAAAGCGCAATTTTGAAAACGGGAATTCGATCTGTCGACCTTACACCATTTGTTTTATTATTTTTTTCCACCAATAGCTTCTCAAATGGTACAGCGAAACTATATGGTGTCTATCCAAACGAGGTTGCTACATGTCCTTCCTGTTTATGAAGAAAAACTTGGTGACCACCCATTTACGGCAACGACACTTAATTGGATTGGTAACAGTTACTACGCCTTGGGTGATTACGACAACGCCATTAAGTACAACAGCAGATCAATTACAATCCGAAAGCAACTGCTGGGGCAACATCAGGAAACTGCGCGGTCTCTATATGATCTGGGTGTGGCTTACATCGCAAAACAAGACTATGAAACGTGAGCAAAGATACTATGCTGCTTGTTATTTAAACAATAGCCTCTATTTGGTGCGAAATATGCACGGATCATGTCCGCAGACATGATCTGTTTCAAAAGGATCTGAATTCGGTAAACCCTCAAATGGCCAAAACATTAACCTTCTTGCGACTCTCTTTCAAGATGCGAGCTTCGAGGAACAGATGGTGTCTAAGGAAAAATATACAAGCATATTTTCGCGCAAAAAAGAGGCGATTGTGTTCATCATCCTTGATATATTTTGCAACGCACATTTAAAGATATTTACGAACAGCTTACTGTTTGCTGCGTCGCGTGTTTACTTTTTTTGCGTTCTCTTGTGCGACTTAATGAACAAACATTCATTTTCCTTCTTCTGTAACAACGATGACTTCGCGTGGTGGACGTAAGGTTTGAAAATTGGCGAGCATCATCCAGGTGCCATCCTCCAATATCCCACGGTTTAAGCTGGGGAACATTCAGTCACGTGATGCGTCATGGCCAATCGTGCGCAAGCAAAATATTTGATGGATCAAAATAAGCAATGTGTAGACCTAATGCCCTCTGGGCAAAGGGTAACAACAAAATCGAGTGTCAGCAATCTCGACTCAAGCAATAACATTTATATTTGTTTCCTTAAAGAGGTTATCGAAATCAGTGCAACTTTATCAAATTGTCAAGTTGACGTGGACTTTCCTTGTTTAAACCATTAGTATCTGGGTGTAAAAAATGCAGTGGTGAGTTATCTAACGCACCATATCACACACGCGATAAATGATTTTTTTCTGTTAAAGAATCACGACAGTAAGACGGAGGAATGATTTACATTTCTTAAACTGTACTAAGGGAATCTCGCTGGACAGAAAAAAAAAACTAGAAGATGTGTGACGTCCTCTTTGGGAGGAAAATGTAAAGGAAGACTATTATTCTACGTTACATCTCTTTTAGAGCACTTAAACACCTTAAAGAGGCAGGTGATTTACAAGAGGAAGTATTGGACACACACGACGAGCTGATTCACACCTATCAAGCTATGTCAATAACTCTTCGTGCTCTTGGAAGAAATGAGGAGGCAGACGAAGCAATGAATCGGGCGGGAGCGTGTGCAAAGAAGTTGGATTCTTGGGAGGCTCCTTTAGATAAACTGAGGACCCAAGAACGAGACAAGGGATGGATAGATATTCTCCCAGCGAAGCCACGGAATTAAAAATTTTAGAAGGCACCCTCTACCTTAAATCATTGATCGGATACCGGTCTGATAATAGATCAATCAATTGAAAACAGGTAATCAATGCTTTGAGCAATTATCTACTCAGTATTTGTTTGTTGGTCTGGCTTGTCAGTCCCTCCGGTCAGTTAATTGCTCGGCAAAACAGGCTGTCAGTCTTTCTCTGTGTCCCTTTGTCGGGCAATTAGTCAATTGACACATCGATCTTCTTAGAAGTCAGTATTCGCGATAGAAAGGAAAACCCACGAATACTTTTGCACAAAAAGAAAAAAAAGAAAAGAGGAGAAACAATAGCTTACTTATGTGAGAAACATGAATTTCAAAGATTGATTTTATAATCTTCAATTTCTATACACTGTATAGGTAAAAAAATTATTCTGAAAGGATTTTTTAAAAGAGAAAATTTATTTAATTAATTCCTTTTGTAATTATCTCAGTTAATCATTTGTAATTAATGTTTGTGTCTAGTTAACCCTTTCACTGCCAAGATCTCATCAGTAATTCTCCTTACTGTCTGCCATACAATGATGTTAGTTTGGAAAATTTGGTATTGGATTTTAATTAATAATCCCCTAATTGATATTTTTCTTTTTTATCATCACTTGTCTGCTAGATATTGTATTAATATTGCAATGAGAATTTCAGAATCTGTCTTGGTCACTCATGGGAGTTTAAATTAAGGGATAAGAACTCAGATGTATTAATAACTTATAAATAAAGATACATTTGAGGCCTTTACCAAGCAATGGCAGTTGCTAATTATAGCACCAAAAGTTTTTCTAAAGCCTTGCTCCCTGAACTAGCAGCTGATCATTATAGTAACTATATTACTATACGCATATTAGAACGATCTTTGAAGTAACGAGCACTCCTTAAAAAGCAGCGAGTGAAAATAAGACCTGAAAAAAATTCAAGCCTCTACGGGATTCGAACGCATAACCTCTGCGATATCGGGGCAGTGCTCTATCAACTGAGCTAACTAGCCAACTGAGAGCTGGTCATTATGGTGGTTCGTAATAAACCCGAATATATGAATATATGATTTTATTTGAATATATGATTTTTATATATTCATAGCCGTTGACTCAACGAACCACCATAATGACCAGCTCCCAGTCTGCTTGTTAGCTCAGTTGGTAGAGCACTGTACTGGTATCACAGAGGTCATGGGTTCGAATCCCGTACATGCCTGAATTTTTTTCAGGTCTTATTTTCATTGCTGCTTAAGTAGTGCTCCTCACTGCGAAGATCGTTCTCATATGCGTTTCTTTAACCGCAGTTCAAATATATGATTTTCATATATTCATAGCTATATTACCATAGTGAATTACAAGAAAGACTAAGGCCAGCTTGAACCTGATAGACAACTTAATGTATGGATTGAAGCAGCTACCTGTTATCATCTCTTGCGTCATTGAAATATATGAAGTTCATATATTTTGAACTGCGGTATTAGATACGTATGATGCACGATCCTCGCAGTAGATAGCGCTATTTAAGCAATAGCGAAAATCAGACCCGAAAAAATCAGGCCTGTACGGGATTCGAACCACTGACCTCTGCGATACTAGTGCAGCGCTCTACCAATTGAGCTAACAAGCCAACTGGGAGCAGGCCGTTAAGTTGATTCGTAATAAACCCGTGAAAGTGATAAATCAGATACAATGAAATATATGAAGTTCATATATTTTGAACTGCGGTATTAGATACGTATGATGCACGATCCTCGCAGTAGATAGCGCTATTTAAGCAATAGCGAAAATCAGACCCGAAAAAATCAGGCCTGTACGGGATTCGAACCACTGACCTCTGCGATACTAGTGCAGCGCTCTACCAATTGAGCTAACAAGCCAACTGGGAGCAGGCCGTTAAGTTGATTCGTAATAAACCCGTGAAAGTGATAAATCAGATACAATGAAATATATGAAGTTCATATATTTTGAACTGCGGTATTAGATACGTATGATGCACGATCCTCGCAGTAGATAGCGCTATTTAAGCAATAGCGAAAATCAGACCTGAAAAAAATCAGGCCTGTACGGGACTCGAACCACTGACCTCTGCGATACTAGTGCAGCGCTCTACCAATTGAGCTAACAAGNTTCATTGTATCTGATTTATCACTTTCACGGGTTTATTACGAATCAACTTAACGGCCTGCTCCCAGTTGGCTTGTTAGCTCAATTGGTAGAGCGCTGCACTAGTATCGCAGAGGTCAGTGGTTCGAATCCCGTACAGGCCTGATTTTTTTCAGGTCTGATTTTCGCTATTGCTTAAATAGCGCTATCTACTGCGAGGATCGTGCATCATACGTATCTAATACCGCAGTTCAAAATATATGAACTTCATATATTTCATTGTATCTGATTTATCACTTTCACGGGTTTATTACGAATCAACTTAACGGCCTGCTCCCAGTTGGCTTGTTAGCTCAATTGGTAGAGCGCTGCACTAGTATCGCAGAGGTCAGTGGTTCGAATCCCGTACAGGCCTGATTTTTTCGGGTCTGATTTTCGCTATTGCTTAAATAGCGCTATCTACTGCGAGGATCGTGCATCATACGTACTGTTATCATCTCTTGCGTCATTTAGACCCACGGCATAAAATATTGGTCAGCCATGTGTGTGCCAGTGTCATACGACAATGAATCTACACAAACACAAAGGAACTGGCCTTTAATGTGCATGTTTAGTCATGCGCATAAATAAGACTTGGTTATTGCGATGTCTGTGCAAGTTTCGTAAACGTTTCATGCGATGATGCCAGACATCTCTGCGGTACGCGTTGTATTACACTGAGCTCCCAAATGTTCTATTCTGACATTCATCGTTTCACAGTACCTCGAAATAGACCAACACTGAATAAGTGAAAATGCTAGACACAAGGCTTCGCAGCAAACCAGTTCGGCTTAGCCGCAAGTAACAGGTCCATTACTCTTCCCTAGCCTGAAAGTCCACCCTGAGCTGACCACAAAATTGGAAGACAGTGGTTTCCGTGAAAAAGTCTCACTCCATAACGGAAATAGACCCCTTGCGTTCAGTCTTCAGCTCCGTTATCTCGCTTTTTGCTGCAAGTTCGTGTCACTGACGGCGTTGGGCTCTCAGAACGAAGCATCTAAACGCGTCATGACTTCCCCTGGCTCCCGACATGGTCACACACCTTCAGCCTTGCTAAATGGGTAAGGTAAAGAAAGGCTGCTGCTGCTCCCTAGGTTTATAATCGCTGCATCGATTCAGTCCCCTGAACTCTCTAACAGGAGACCTGGGTAGGCTGGTTAAGGGAAGGGAGGGGAGGGGGGAGGCGGTTTACTTATTCTGGTTGCATTTTTTTTTGCCTAATGAAAATATCATCTAAAAATGCTCCTGTGAAAGCCGTTATCGTCGCTACCGCGACTAATTACAAAGAGATGCAAGTTTACGAAAAATGCTATTACTTGATTTTGTCTTAGACTGTATTCTTTACAAATGGGTTATTAACCAAGCGTGAGGTCAACTGAGATGGCCGTATATTGGCCGAGTTCTTATTTTACATTTTTATGGCCCAAGACGTAGTTGAGGTCCATAAAAATGCGAATAAAGAACGAAGCTAAGGAAAGAGTACCATAGAACCCCATACATTAATTATGCATTCCACTTCTTTGTCTTTCACGACAAAACTTTAAAAACAAAGTCTACTAATCTGAATGCATAATTAATGTATGGGGTTATATGGTACTCTTGCCCGAGGCTAATATTCAGCCATCTTGAACGAAAAATCTTGGTTAAGAAAGAATTTGTTACATTCCAAAAACATTTCGCTTTATTAAGAATTAGAAATGACGTGGTTACTTCGAGAGTCGAGAAAGAAAGCCGACTTTGTTTGTAGCACAACAAGCTCACGAGTCGTTCCCGTTTTCTTTGTTTTGACCATCTTCTGCCCCTTTTTGCGTTTCGATCGCTGATACTGTACAAGAATTACCAACGTAGTTCGAATTCAACTTTTTTCATGCGCAGGATCGATGCGAGCAGTCCCGGGCGGACAGGATGAGCCCCATCTTGCCCGCTAGGGTAGCTAATCAGAACACAGGATTAGCTTCATCTTGCCCACGGGCGCTGCGAGCGACACAATAAGGGAACTTAAAACACGTTTCGCCTGACTGGCATACCCTTTGGTAATTTAGAACACAGGGAAATGACTCAGTTTAATCACGCCTTCCTTAACTGACTCTCTTACCTTTACTGAGGTGTTCGTTATCCCGTCGACGTTTGTTTTAATTTGAGCCGTACGGTGTCAAGCATTTGCGAAAGTGACTGTTAGCGAACCAATAGGACTGCCGACACGCTGCCTCAGCCCCAATGCATTCATCAACAGCTAGCGGAATTTCTTGACAGACTTGAACTCGATAGAGACCAATATTCGTCTTCATAAATGCTGGAGTGCAGATAACTGAGAGAATTCAGTGGTCAAAATTTCAAGATGTCTTTTGTTGGTGGTAGTCCTCCAACTGGTGAGTAATCCAATGAGTTACTTGAAGTTCTGACTCAGGATTTAGCTGGAAAATACTTTGAAGAGAAATATAACTGAATCGACAACTTCAAAGCGGAACACTGCATGAAACAATAATACCATCATCAATGTAATGGGCAATGGCTTCTAATTTTTCGTGGCGGTAGTTTAATCAGAGAAAAATGAAACAAAAACCTTTTAGTATTGTTTGTATGAGCAAAAATACACTCAGAAGGCTACTTGTTTAAGTTTGTAGTAAACAATGCCCAAATCTTTGAAACATATGGGCGGAAGTTGACTTCTTGTTCCATAAATCATGGAAAACTTAACTGAGAAAAGTCAACTCAAGCAGCGGAGGCGGTTAAGTCTTCGATGTACTTAAAACACGGTCTGAAAATCGCGAGATCAAATTGCTTCAGAGATGGAATCGAGGAACACGTACAACAAACAGATGAACGGTCAATTTACAATCTTCTGAGTACAACAGAGTGTTTAACTTAGTAATACCGTAAAACCAGCTCAGTAAGGAATTCGAAACGTGGAATACCACACATTATTATCCAGTTACACCTAGACGAGTACAAATAACGCCATAGACGAGTACAAATATCACGCGGTATTTGTACTCGTCTATTGTAGTACCGGTTAAACAGGTTTTCTCGCATCGCGCAAGCGAAGAATTGGATTGTAGTTACGAGAAAAAAACAAATGGCGGACGATTTGAATCATATTTCCGACGACGAAGAGTCAGAATGGCTGGCAAATATAGATCCAAGTTCAGTAGATGAATCGAACGAGGAAACACAGCTTGACGACCAGAAAATTTCTTCATTTAATGAAGAAAATAGAAACAGCAGCTCAATTCCGTTCCGCTTCGCATACTTCTGTCACGCACTCCCCGTAAATAAACATCCGCGAAATTCTCCCGCACTGAAATAACAGTTTGGCGTGTTGGATAATAAATAACTTATTAGACGTTTTGTTGCGTAGTATCGCTTAGTATTTTTACTCGTTATTTGTATTTTGACTCGCCCTACGGGCTCGTCAAAATACGGCACAACTCGTAAAAATACTCAGAGATACTACACAACAAAACGTTTAATAAGATATCTATCTTTAACTAATAATTTGTGTCGCGGAAACGCCGGCTTGAACCAGTGGCCATAAGTGCAATGTCAGTGCTAAGTTAAGATACACACTGTAAATCAACCTCTGCGTACATGTATGCAAATTAAGAGCTGCTCCGTAACGCTTCGTGCAACTTGGAGATTTAGCTTGCAACATCATAATTTTTGTCCCCATCAACTTTTTCAGTCGTTTCGAAATCTTAAGCGTACCACGGTTTTGATTTGTTCTTTGAAGTTTGATATGTTTGTATCTCGACTAACGTGCTATATGGGGTTTTTCCGGGCTAAGGACTTCAAATATCGATGCTATAGTGGCTCAGCATCATGTCAGCCTGTTTTTTTCAATGCTTGAGTGAGTTCATAGGTAAATAAACAAAGGTGAAAGGAGACTTAAATGGAACATATATTATCTCTTTTAAAGCTAAGGCAAAACTCTTGTCTTGCAAAATATGTTTGAACACTGCATAAGACAAAAAAATTAGAGAGGACTAGCTTCGCCAGAGTCGTTTCTGACAAATTTCTTTTAGAATTAATCTTCTATCACAGAAGTGGCATGTTGCAATCTTATTGGCTAGGCCAGTCGCGATCTATTGGGTGGTAGAGGGTGGGTCAAATAGCCCAACAGCGAGCGGTTATAAACAAAATAAACAAAAAACACGAGCCTATCTTGTTAAGGTTTGAACGACAGATATGTTTAAACTAAAACAGGTTAGATGATTCGCTCTCGATTTCTACACGTGAGGACTGATTCGGCTTTGCTTTCCAATACAACGCAATAGAGATCTCGAGCGCATAATTTAATTGCTATATAGCTCAAATTAACATTTTCCATCCTATTTTTGTTTTCTATGTATAGAGTGTACATTGTCAGCCATCCTTGAGGAGAGACCAAAGCTCATAGAGCAATTGGCCTTATGCTTGGACAAAGAAATGAGACTAATTCCCAACTGGAAACATTTGGCATCGGAGCTTGATGTCAACGCAGATGTAATCCGACGACTGGAGAAACCGTATAGTGATTACAGTCCTACCATCCGATTGTTTGAATATCTCGAGGCCACTCAACCAGATCTGTCTATTGAACAACTGAAAGACGCTCTGCTGGAGATTGGGAGGAACGACTTGTTTAGTTTGCTGACAAAAGGTATGACTGTGTATAGCATATTCACTGGGAGCAAGTGTGGAAAATTACAGTTTAATTTAACCCGATCGCCAGCCTTCCCTTACTCATGTTCATAAAAAATTCATGGCACAAATTTAAGAAAAAATATGGAATTTTATGGTAGGAATTGATCAGGCCAGAGTCCAGCCGTGATTCTAAATTTCTCTTTAAAAAGTTATTTTCTACAGTTCGATAGAATTAAGCCCCTTTTCTGTAAATAAAGCACAAGCGCACGACGCTATAGCACTCCTGAAGGCGTGTAAAGTCACTATAGAGGTTTTGCATGGCAGCCATGTTGCATGGCAGGAACAATGAAAATGTTTTGCATGAGAAAGAAATTTTTTTTCCCATGGGAAAAATAATCTATTGTTCCTGCCGTGCAACATGGCTGCTGTGCAAAACCTCTATATATGTCGAGATCCCTCAATAAATAGGGAGAAGGGAGCATGCCAGCTATCTTCCAAATAGACATAAGTGATTCCCACCTTAACCACCACCTCCAGGAGGGTCGGGGAAGGGGGACATCTATATAATGAATAGCTCACTTGAATGCAATCACTTTCCACGCTCGAACTGGACTATTATAATTTATACCTTTGAACGATATCATAAGGTTTGAATAGGACGGCTAAGAGCAGTCGAAACTGTCAACTGAACGTATCAAAACAAGGAAGGACTACGTTAAACCAAAGCACTCTTTTTCTTGGTTTAAATAAAAAATAATCAAGAAGCTATGGGGATATCTCGTGAGAGAGAAGAAAATAATGTTGTAATTTTAAAATAATACATTAGAGTGAGCATACTTATTCTGTGAGGATTTTGGATTAATAGTTATCTTAGAGACTAATCCCTTGTTTTGATTATCCCCTAAAAATATTTTCTTTCATTGTTCAAGTGTGCTCACTCTATCAGGTTTTTTGTAAATTTGTAAATAGCATTATATCATAACACTGTTTTATTTGGTGTTTCATAAATCAATAGGATTAATTGTTCCCATTTATTGTTGGGAAAGGTTTCTTACTTATCTGTAAACAGTCTGATATATTCCATATCATTTTCATATCAATGTATTCAACTCACAAACATCATTGGTTTTAACAATTGTGCTTTAATAATTTAATATAAGTTTTAATAATATAATACATAAGGACTGACTTTCAAACATTTGCCTCCTTTGTATTTCTACTTGAATATTTGTAGCATAATTCCTGAAATACATATTCTAGGCACAGCGTCAGTCAAACTTATTATGATATTTTTTAAATAAAACAGGAACATTAAATTTACAGAAAAGTCTATTTGTTTTGGGAATTTAAAGAATATTACAGTAATTAGTCTGTTGATGACCTATTGATGTCCTTGCGAAGAGCTTTTGATTTCAGTTGTTTCAATCTAATTTTGTGTTTTTGAATAACGTCCTTCACAAATGAAAAAGAACGAACTCTAACATACAAACTAATAATATTGTGGAGAACATCTTTGGCAACATGGCTACTAATCTCAACTTCAGAGTCGGCTAACATGGCAGAGTGAGATGCGACAACAGTTACATCATGCATTGATCTTGAAATAATATTAGCTAAAGGAATGTTTTTCAGACTGGTTTTACGTGTAGCTTCCCTGAAATAGTGTTCAGTTCTTTCAAAAACAGACTGAGCATTTCTTGTGATCTTCCACAGTCCACCTCGATTCAATGTTGTAGTCAATCTCTGATCTTCACCAATAGGATTGTCCCATTTCCCAGCCATTATCAGTGAGATTGCGTGGTCATTTTCTAGTGTTTTACTTGCTTGTTTGTGCTTGTTATGTAGCTTATGTAGTACATAACCTCCAATATACTGTAACCCTGACTTCTCTTTATCAGATAATTTCGTCAATGGTTCACATGTGTGAGTTTCTGCTTTTTCTTTGCTATGTGTTAAAAGGCAGTCGGCCACTTTTGAACAAAGTAATGTAGCAGAGTTTCTTGATAATCCTACAAAATGGCTCGAAGCATGCAAGACTATGCTAGCGTAAAAGGCTGCATAAAACCTCTCTGCATTTCCAGACTTTGCCAATTGAATATAAAGCCCCTGAATTTCAGAAAATTTAGGTGTTGAAGATTGTAGAGTGTTGCAGTTGTAGGACCATATCTCGTCTCTGTTTACCTTTGGATAAATTTTGCTGTCTCTAAGTTTCACTTTAGCATTGCCAACGATGCTTGCATACGTTTCCACAGTTAATAGATCTCGATTTTCTGGTTTGTCTGTCTCAGTTTCTTCTGTTTCTTCTGTTTTATCTTTGTGTTTAACAGTGATGTGACGTTTCAGTCCGCTCTTACTCTTGCATTTCTTTGGACAATGAGGGCAAGTGACGCTCAGTGGGTGAACCTGCAAAACCAAATTCACGATCAACATCACACACTACTTAGGTTCATAAATCATCTTTAAATCAACAGCTGATAAAATAACGTTTAGGCAAGAAATGGTTTATAAATAGAGCCCGAAATAAGAGTGATTGATCGAAAGCATGATGTCGAAAGCTAGTCTGTTCGACCTTCATGTTCAATCTTCCTTTTTGACGTTTTTAGGCTATATTTTAACTATTAAAACAGATTCTATAGCTTACATCAGCAGCTGCTTCTCTGAAGTGCTCATCAAGGTCTTCTTCTTCTTCTAAAACTCCTAAAATTGCCTCTAAATCGTCTCCAAAGAAGAACATGTCATCACACGCGTCCGCCATGTTGTTTTTAGATGTTCGGTCAATGTCACGTGACGGTGCATCTCAACCTCAAAACCCAAACAATAGGCCGGTCCTTTGAAGTTCGCCGGCTTTCATAACCAGTCCCCTCGATTAACTATGATTAAAATGATTGCCATATATTATTAAAGCAATCGATATGGAATAAGAATTTTGCTTCCCTTACCCGAAAGTATCTCTAAAACTTGCTCGTATAGTTTCAAAGTTGGTCGCCGTTTGCAATAATTCGAAAATTGTCGAAACGCCTGTAACTTCTACGAACAAAATTCCTCGGAAGGACTACAACAATGTGCGACTGACTTTTCCTCCCTTGCACCAGACATGGATTGTGAAATTGACTCGTGTCGATTTTGTTCACCGGCATTACTTTTTACTTACGGTCCAGGTGGTGACATATGATGCGAAATGGGAGTAATGCTAAACACTTTATGAAAATAGGTTTACTATGTCAAGCGTAAGAGGAAAATTTAATTATGGACTACCCTGAATTGCTGTAATATAAATTGTGTCATAAAGCGCAGGTGACGTATACCCTTCTCTTTTAGCTGGCTGCATCGACTCTGAAAAAGTAAAAGACCTTATCACTTCGCAAAATATTCAAGGTCCTTCACCAACAGCTGGTCTTTTGGACGAAATTGCATTGGCCTTAGACGTTACCTCTCTGGCATTATCAAGCTGGTCCAGCCTAGCAATAAAATTGAGAGTGCCAAGAAAAACTTGTTGGGGGTTTGAACGACGTTCAACGGATAATCCAACCCACAATCTCTTGCAGTATTTGGTTACCACCTGTCCCGAAATGAAATTGAGAAGTCTGAAAGATGCCCTGGATTCCATTCAAAGAAAGGATCTACTAAAAATTCTAGAAGAACATAATCAAAGAGGTACTTACGGTAAACATCTATCTGAGATACATGATGATCAATGATCTTTTGAGCTCGAGGCAGAAACCAGCAAAACCCTGGTACTGATGAAGATTGTCTAGCCTAACCTTAGACCTTACCCCTTAGTCTTTTTTCTGAATTTCTCTCTGAAATCTGAATTGCTGCATAATTACAGGTTTTGGTCTTTCCGTTGAAGGACTAAGCACTATTTCCATGGTTTTTCCCTCCAAAACCAGAAAAACTAGAGCTATTTTTAGACATAACTTGCCTCTTGATGAAATTCTCCGCATTTACGGATCAATGAATCGAGAGGTAGCTGAAATATAAAAAGTTTTCTCTAGTTAAGACCAACACAGAGTCTAAGGTTTTAGATTTTCTGGTCTTTTTCTCTTGCAGATGAAGTATTCCTGAAGGACTTAATGTCCCAAGAACCGGAGCTTGTGGAGACAATGGCAGAAACACTTAACCGCGAAGAAGTACCAGGTGTCAAAAGTTGGATACATCTCGCCTACAAACTGAACGTGCCCGATGACGTGCGTCAAGGATTTGGTGTGACAGGACAAAATTCGAAAAGTCCCACTAAGGAAGTCATTGAATGGGTGGCTGTGAATCTCCCGCAGAAAACTTTAAGTGACGTTACAAATGCGTTGGACAGGATCCAACGTAATGATGCTATTCGGATAATATCAAAGCAATTTCCAGGCTCAGTTGGTGAGTAACAACATTAGCAATGGTTCGATAGATAGATAGATAGATAGACAGACAGACAGACAGATAGATAGATAGATAGATAGATAGATAGATAGATAGATAGGTAGGTAGGAACTTTATTAACGTGTCAAAGAACCTTCTAGTTTGGGAGATATCCCATACTAATGAGGGGACACATAAAATGGATAAAAATCGTTGACAAAGAATATTGCCTACTTAAGAATAAAATTGTCATATCATGTATAAAAAAATATGAAATGAATTAAGAAGTAAATAGAGCACAGCCGCTGCAGCCATCATCTAATAGCAAATGAACCCGAGCCACCTCAGTGGCAGGCGAGTGCTCTCACCCTACCGCATTCGTGCTCACTTTTGGCACAAATACACTACTAGCGAATTGACTAGGTCCAAAATCTATTTGCAAGATTCCCCGTAACTTCTTCGCGAAAATCGAAAATCTATCACACCCATGTCAAATACCACTATGCACCCTAATCATACGTTCTGTTTATCGTTTTCCAGAGTCAACTTTAGAGCGACGTGGCTGTTCATTCCAAGACAGTCTTACAATGTCTGATCCCACAGGTCAGAGTCCATCTCCCAGCTACAAACGGGGAGAGAAAGATTCTCCTCCAAAGGGAGGTGAGGAGGACAAAATTGATTTTACTTAACAAAACTGAGTAAGGTGCACAATTTAATCGTTCATGGTAACCAGTTTCTTGTTAAGAATTTAGTAATATGAACTAAGTTGAAATTGTAAATTGGCCACCGTAAAGAGTTAAAAAGCTGAGGTTTCGAACGTTAGCCCTTCGTCATTCGCTCTGACGAAGGGCTAACGCTTGAAACGTCAGTTTTTTAACCCTTTACGATGGCCAATTTACAATTTGAACTTAGTTGGTATTACAAAATTACCTTGTTACCCCCACCGACGCAGCACCACAGTTTCTTTAGAAGCTTACCCCTTTATTCTCTTGTTAAGGATGATAGAGAGAGTGAAATAATTAAGATAAACAACAAAATTTAAGGCGTTGTTCATAGAGAGATTTTTCCTACACTAAAAAAAAAGCTCCCCGTACTCTACCACCAGTTGTTGGCTGCAGCTAACTTTGGTGAGAAAGGCTGATTCAGGGACGCAGACAGTTTGTTTAAATCTAGTGCTTGTACTCTAAGCAAAACCAGAGATTACTTTGCCTAGACTAGTCTGTAATAACTATTTTATGCCTCTGTGTAGTTACAGACGTAAGGGAACAGCCAGGTCACTGTGGAACATTGCCCGATCAAATAGATTTGGTGGGTCGCAATGAAACCTGTGAAAAGATCATAACTGCCCTGTCGTCAAACAAGGCGGTTAAAATTGTAGCGCCACCTGGGTACGGAAAAACCTCTACGGTAATAGAGGTCGCCCACCAGTTGATTAATAGAGGAAAGTTCATTGCTTATGTTCACCCAAGAGGTGTTACTTGTGTAGAAGACTTGGCAAGCTATATCATCGAAGCCTTGGGTTTCGTTCCTAGCGAAGATACAATCACTGAGGTTATTCGTCGCATACGTGTCTTTAAGACAAAGACAGTAGTGCTCATTATCGAAAACATTGACAACTTACTGCATCTTGAGGCTCAAATCAGCAAGGATGAATACAACCAAGAATTAAACTGTAAAAAGTACTGCACCAAAATGCGGGGGAAATTCACCACTGATGACTTTTTGTCTTTTCTAAAAGACATAGGATAATGCCCAACCGTTCATCTTATACTAACATCTACAGAATTCAGCGGTGAATTTAGTGTGTCTTTCCCTGTTGAGCTGATCGCCTTAGAGCCTCTAAACGAAAGAGATTCAGCTTCTTTGTTTACCAAGAGTGACAGAAGTGTAGACAAGAGCTTGATTGATGACCTAGTAAGAGTTTGTGGCGGCATTCCTCTACTCATCTGCACCGTACGCTCCATTCTTAGACGAGAAAATCCAGAGAGGTTAGCCCAAAGGCTTACCACATGTTCAACAAGTGCTCTTGTGAGAGAACTTAGTCCTGAATCTCTACCGAATGAGAATCGAATTGACAAGCGTCTACAGATCTGCCTTAATCGCTTCAGTGAAGAGAATCAAAAGGTATTTGTGATGTTCTCAACATTTCCTAGCGGATTCACTGAAGAGCAATTTAACTCGGTATTCAAGTCTTCAGTTGGAGAAGGTCTGCAAGCGTTTCTGAATTCCCTGAAACAAAGCAGCCTCCTTAACTTTGATAGAAATAACTGTCTTTACTCCCTTCATCCTTTCATAAGAAACTTCTTCTCAGTGATGTCTTATCATAGAGAATTCAAATCAATCTTCATTCGCCACTACAGTGACTTGGCTGTTACTCTTTCCGAAACATTCTTGACTAAAGATTGCAAGTTGGCAATTGATCAGTACAGATCTGAAAAGGACAACATTAGAGAAGCCATGGTTTGGTGTGGGGACGAGCATCCTGAACTTGGCCAAACCGTGAGGGAGCACTGTATTGCTGCTTTCAACAAAGCCGCCGTATTTCTCGCAAAGATGATGCGAAAGCAAGAGTTTGTGTCCCTCTTCTGCAAGCTTGCGTATCGATGTCAGGATAACAACGACCTATTAAGTGCTTGCTTGACAGGCATCGGAGTGAAAATAGTATTGAGCTGCACATGCACACCGTACATTTGTCCAAGAGCGTTGTATCAAGCGAAGAGATATTTGGCACACGCTAAACACATTCATTCAAAACTTACGGACGTGAATGAAGCTGTGCGTGCTCACTGCTTGAGTAAGCTTGGGTTCTGTTGTGTTCGAGAGGGACGCATTGAAGAAGGATTTGAATACCTCAACGAAGCCCTAGAACTAAGAAGAAAGAGAGAAGAAAAATCAGATGAGACCAAAGATAAAGTCATGTTAGGAGCGTGTTATAATGATTTAGCAGGTTGGGAAAAAATTGTGCATTTTTACACCCCTCTAATTCTATTATTTATAAAATGCGCGGTTAATCAGGCAATGTTAAACCTTAACTGTAGTTGAATCTTTTTTCCTTTTTATTTGTGGTCCTTACAGCTTCCCTAATGGTGCAAAGGAAACACATGTGTGCTATCCAAACAAGACTCTGCCATGTGCTTCCGCTCTATGAACAAAACCTGGGAGACCACCCTTTCACGGCAACAACACTGGACTGGATTGGTAACAGTTACCACGCCTTGGGCGACTACGACAATGCTGTTAAATACATCAGTAAATCAGTTGAAATGCGTAAGCAACTGTTGGGGCACCATCAGGAAACTGCGATGTCTCTTCATGATTTGGGAGTGGCTTTGAACGCGAAAGAAGATTACTCAAGGTGATAACTAGAAACTTTGCTATCTATTCCCAAATATCTTATTAGTCATTCCTATACTAAGCAATTATTGGATGAGATTAAGCCTGATACCCGAAGTTATCCTTGCCCAGGTCTGAGTTATAATTCATGATACCATGCGAAAACTGAATTCAATAATGGTATCATTAGTAGTAAATTTTTTCAACAATCTCCAAAAGAAGACACTTCTTCCTAAGTTTGCAAAAGTTTGAGAACACCATACCAACAAGGGGCCTGGAAACTAAGAAGATTTTGAACTGGACAAGATAACCCAATATCTGCAGCAGATATTGGGTTATCGTGCTAACCTAACTCGCTATTGTATATTCACGAATGTATGCTCTTGCGCAATCAGAGTTTTCATAGCAAGCCTAATGTATAACAATCATTAGTATATACTAAAACAGTGGATATCGTGGAAGACGCACTCTGACTGGCTAGTCAAACTCCGAATATCCTTTGCTATTTACCTCCGAGCAACTCGGGAAAAAATGGCGTCCCGGTTTGTATCCATGACAAGCGAAGAAATCACTCAAATCAATTTTTGGTGGTGTATATTATCTCACTGTTTTAGTATATACTAAAACAACTATTCACCTCAGTGTCTGTGGTTAGCAGCGGATATTTACCTCGCCGCTTCGCAACTCGGTAAATATCCACCACTAACCACCTCCACTTCGATGAATAGTTGGTAATTACTCTTGGGCCTGATGCCCTATTTTGGAAATGCCTTGGAAGGATGTATACTGTTGAATGACTGAAATGTGCGCCCGCAATATTTCGGTAGCCGCGCGATAAGGTTCTATACCCATTTTAATTTCAGACGAAGGATGCCATTCTTCTCCACTAGGATTTGCGTTTTACGTAGATTGCAACTATAAGGAACGTCAAGCTGTCCCTTACTTCGAATTCTTCATCAGGGATTCTTCCATGAGGAATAAATTAAAGTGAGGCAGATTACTAATTATTACTGCTTTCTCTTTTAGTGCACTTAAGTATCTTAAAGAGGCAATTGATTTGCAAGAGGAAGTATCAGACACACATCAACAACTGATTCACACTCACCAAGACATGTCCATTGCTCTGCGGGGTCTCGGAAGAAACAGCGAAGCCGAGGAAGAAATGACACGGGCTGCGGTGTGCGCGAAAAAGTTGGAAAAGGAAGAAAAAGAAGAAGAAAATGACTGGATGGATATCTCATGCACAGGACTAGGAGTTTTGAAAAAGAGATCCACAACACTGTAAGGAAGCAAAACAATCTATCGATTGATTGATGGGCTCTCATGGTCACTTATTTAACCAATGCAGCGACCCAGTCGCTCAGTCTGTCCGTTCATTGACCTCCCTACGTGCTTATCAGTCAATTGCAGTTTAGGAAGAACCTCTGTTAGACTTTAGTCGGGGTAGGATGGCGGTAACCAACTAATTTTGATCAGGCCAAGTTAAGTTATTTTTTTAAAAAAGGAAGATCTTTAATTGTACTCTCCATCGTCCTATTAACGAGCAGAGGTTGAACTTCCCCAGAGTTGGCAAATTGACATGTCCAAATTCATACTGATTCTCACTACGGGAAACCGAAAAACCCTCATTGTTGACCTCTCTTGACAAGAGAAACTAACCAAGAGCAAGTGATTACAGTAATAAATTAATGTCTCGAAGACAGAAGATATCTTTTTCTTGGGCTTCAGCAGTTAAATTGAGCGATCGGCAAATATGGTTAAAGGCATTGGGTAAACATATATTTGTGACATTTTTCCGGGTGAAATTGTGAAATAAATATTAGAAATGTAGGGAAATAAAAACGCTTGGCAGAGGCAAAGTTTGAATCAAAGATTCGCGTTAATTGTACACCAAATTTTCTTAATTTTTTTCGTTGCGTTAAAAGCTCACATGCACATGAATGAAAGATCCCTTGCCTCAAGTAGCCATTATCACTATCGATATCATCAAGGTTTGGGCTGTGCAAGTTTTCTGTAGTTCGTATTAACATAGCGGTTTTCTTTTTTGAGCTAGAGCACCACAAAGGAAGGTGCGCGCTGGAAGTAACTTAGCTTTGAATTTAATTATCTCCCATTTGCTTCAGTGAGATCTTCCACAAGCTCCAAAATATATGAAATTTGTCCTGCCGATCAATTAAAGTCGAAAAAATAGAGGTAACAAAGACAGTTTCCTCGCTTTTTGAAACTTAGAACTGTCCATGAGGTTTTTTCTTTTTTAGTTAATTGGCAATTTGAAGGGCGCAAATATGTTTAACGTTACATTTGTTTAAAGCTACACCGAATAACAGGGAGGCTCGAAAGGGTTTTTTGGTCGCGCGGAGAATGGATTCCAAGACGCACGTCGGCAAAAAGTTAAATAAGAAGCTAGAGTTCCCCTCAGCTACTGCCTCAGGGGTAGTTTGAAAGACATGGAAAGGCGGAATACTCGGAATACCCGGAATGACCGAAAAATAATAAATTTTCAAAAAATAAAAGTAAATTGGTATAGGTAATCACATGATTTCGAGTGTAATTTGGAATAAATAAGCACGAGTAATTTTTTCAAAGACTAACAAAATTGCATGAGCCCTACGGGCTCATGCAATTTCATGTGGTCTTTGAAAAAATTTACAAGTGCCTATTTATTCGAAATTGCACGAGAAAATAATGTGATTATCTATTAATAATATACATGAAAAAATACGAGGTAGCTTCTCAAAACTACGCAGAAGAAAAGCGCACGCATCATGTGCAAAAATGATTTATTCAAACCCTGCAAGTGACATTGACCTTGACATTGACATTGACCAATCATTCTGACCAATCAGAATGTCTGGTTTGTTTCTATCTTTGCACTGAATTAACCCTCTTCTGCACTGAATTAACTCTCTTCTGCACTGAATTAACTGAAAACTGCATTCATCTTAACCAATCAGAACTGAGAAATTTTTTCATGTATATTATTAGTTCAGGAAAAAATCACAGATGATGTCAAAATGTGATAAGAACAAGAAAAGTGTCACATGAGC